GAGTTAACCTACTTCTTTCCTGTCATTGCTGTTGTGAGTTTTTCTTGCCTGGGGCCCTAGAAGGACCTTGGTCGGATGACCTTGGCTTGTGAGTTCAGCATTCTAGATGAGGGAACTGTAGCTCACTTTTCCTGAATTTCTCTCTGATCCTTGGTCTCAAGTTTTTTCCTTCTTTCCTTAAGTTAGAGAGCTCAAACAGTAGTAGGGATGGGGAGGAAAACTCACCCTGCCTGTAATTTTTCTTCTCTGGTCTGGTGGCAAAATTATCTGGGACTAGTGGGTCAACTGCTTCTGTTCCTTTTGAATTCTGCAGCTAAGTTCTCTGGGGTGGATGGCTTCTTGTTTTGTGTTTGTATCCCTCTCTCCTAAATTTTGTTTTTCTCTGAAGTCTGTAGAGTGGTCTAGCCAGAGTCCCTGGCTCTCCTTGCCACTCTTTCTGATAGTTAAGGAGGAAGGACTTTGCCTTAGACTTCTGTTCTAAGACTGTATTCCTGTAGCTGCTGATTGCTGGAGCCTTCGAGTTAATGTGCATGTCTGAAAAAGTAGGATGATATCCCAGCAAAAACATTGTCTTAGCTGGATCCTTAATATTGGTGTTACCCTACCACCAACCCCTTGCTGCACAGCAGGGTCCAAAGGGGCCTGTTCTGCATCTTGTGGCTATTGCTGGGGCTAGGTATGCCAGAGGGATTATCAGGAATCAATGGCAATGTCACCTGTTAGGATCATCTGTCAAGATGATTTCTCATTGTAGTTTTGATTTACATCTTTCTGAAAGTTAAGAATCTTTTTTTCTCTACCAGTTTATTTACAGAACTCGAATACAAATTAGAACAAATTCTTTCAATTTCCCTCACCTACCATACCCATCAAATTGTACAACCCAATGATTAATTCTCCCTTCCCCTGCGCATCCACATCCCTCTGCTTTACAGTCTCTCCCACCCCTCCTGGATCCTTACACTCATTCTACAATAACGGTTTTATATAATATTTATCCTTGTGGGACTGAGTTAGTTCACTCAGCATAATGCTCTCCAGTCCCTCCCAAGTTAGGTAATAATTTACAGTTATTGCTCCTTCGTGCTGCATAGTATTCCATTGTGTGAATGTACCATAATTTCAAAATTCAATAATTTGTGGTTGGACATTTTGGCTGTTTCCATGTTCTTGCGATGGTGAATAATGCTGCTATGAACAATGGTGTACAAATCTCAATTTATGCCTCAGGTTTTATGGGCAAAATACATGAAAAGAATTTTCACAGAGGAAGATATTCAAATGGCAAACAGACACATAAAGAAATGCTTCAAATCACTGGCAATAAGAGAGATGCATATCAAAACCACAAAGAGGTACCATCTCACTCCTGTAACAGTGACAAAGTTTAACAGGGCAGCAAATAATAGATATTGGAGAGGATATGGTGAGAAAGGAACTCATACATTGTTGGTGGGATTGTAAAATGGTTGAACCATTCTGGATTGCATGCAGTTAGGCACTTTCTCAAAAAGCTGAACATAGAAATTCCATAAAGTTGTTGAGCTCTGGTGGACTAGTGGCAACAAGCTTCACTGCAATCCCAGAGGTGCACAGTTCAAATCCACCTGATGCTCTACTTGAGAAGAAAGGACAATCTCATCCTGTACCAGTCAGATCTGATTTGACGATGTGTACACACACACACACACAAATAAAATTAAAACAAAAAAATTTAAAAAATAAATTCGATAAAGTTAAGGATCTTTAGATTTTCTTCATGTGTTTGTGGGCCATCTGAATATCTTCTTTGAACAAATATCTATTCACATTCCATGCCTGCTGTGAAAGATTGTCTCTTTCTGTTTTTTTAATCTGCATTGTCTAATTATTTTTTTTCTTAAATTCCCCTTGGCTTTTGTTTGTATAATCCTGTAATTCTTCAAATTTGTCTTTCACTCATTGAAAATAATCCTTCTTAATTTTGTACTCTGTGTCAGAAAGTACCATAAAACTTTCTGGCTTCAGGAAATCTCTTGATTCTGTGTTTTTATTACAGAACATATCTTTTTTTTTCATTATTATATACTTGGAAAATAGTGCCAACAAGTGATTTTGAAGTAAAGATTCAGCTCTATTAACATACATTAATAAAAAAATTAAGAGTAATATTAAATTATCTTAATTTATGGTTCTATACATTACTATAGAATTTATGGTGAAATTATTTTCTTAAGTACGCAAAACATTTGACTGCGTGGATCATAACAAACTGTGGCTGACTCTGAGAAGAATGGGAATCTCAGAACATTTAATCGTGCTAATGTGAAACCTATGCTTGGACCAAGAGGCAGTTGTCAGAACAGAGCAGGGCAACACTGCATGGTTCAAAATTGGGAAGGGTGTACACCAGGGATGTGTCCTGTCTCCATACTTTTTCAACCTGTATGCAGAGAAGATTATCCGAGAGGCTAGGCTCTATGAGGAGAAGCGTGGCGTTAGGAT